TCAGTATTTTCCCAACAACACCTGAGGCAATTTATCTCCATCCATGATCGCTGTGTCATCAGTGAGGTATCAGTGGGACCTCAAACCTCAGTGCCGTTAGTTGTGATGTTATAGAAGTTGATTCTCCTCAGTTTAAGTTTCCTACATGTCTAACATATCAGTGTTTATTTCAGAGTGTGGAGGAGCACTGACTGCAGACAGAGGTTCCTTCTCCTCGCCGTTCTTCCCCTCCAACTATCCTCCAAAAACCACGTGTGTGTGGACCATCGAGGCGAGGAACCATTTTAATTGGTTTATTAAAAATGAAAGTCTTGTTATTGTTCCCTACAGGCTCCCATTAACTCCATTGTCTCTTTTCAGGCTCCAAAGGAGAAGTTTTTGAAGGTTCAGTTCAACAAGTTCTTCCTGGGGAAATACAGCAGCCAGTGCCAGAATGATTATGTGGAGGTCAACGGTCAGAGGTCGGCATTTTCTCTCTCTTCATATTTCCTCTCTTTCAACACTGGCTCCTAATGAAGTTGTCCAACCTTGAAATTACTTTTTAAAAAACCACTTCTTTGAGGATTGCAATTATGTGATTCTATTCCCGTTTGATTTCATTTGTTCAGTTTTACTCTCCGTGTTCAGTTTAGTTTTTTTATTTAATTTCATTCTCTGTGGGTTTGGAATTCTGTTTGTATTGGTAAGTACTTAATGACGTCTGTATACTGTACGGTACTATGTAAAACAAATGTTTAATGAATATTATTGTTGTTTTTATTACCTTATAAGTAGGGATGTCCCGATCACCTTTTTTTGCTCCCGATCCGATTCCGATCATTTGATTTTGACAATTTGCCGATACCGATTTTTCCCGATCCGATCTTTATGCAATGCATTAAGAGAAAAAAGAGAAAAAAGGTTTTTTTTTTTTATTTAAATTGGATATTCTATCCAACATGGATATAGCTTCTTTCTTTCACAGCAGCATTGGATCAGTTCAGTTGTGCAGCATTGGATCAAAACAAAATAAAGCTTATCAGTACTCGTTAGCTTACTGCTACAATTAGACACTGCGCCCACTCTGTTGCCAGATTTGAGAGAAATAAGCAACCAGGTCTATGAAAACAAGCCCCAAAGAAGCAACACATACATGATGTTCTGTAATTTGAAACCAAAACTAAGGCCTCAGGATGACTTTAAGACTTGAAAATGGTCATTTTTGTTTTGTAACATTGAATACAAAATTTTAAAAAAGTATTTAAAAAAAAAAAAAATCCCGATCCCCGATTTTTTTCTCCCGATTCCGATCTTTTAAAAATCACGTGATCGGCTCCGATCCCCGATCACGTGATCGGATCGGGACATCTCTACTTATAAGTCAATATACTGTGCGCCTGTTTAAAGAAGCGAGTGTTTTGAATCTAAATTGTGTTTTGTCTGTTTGGTGTAGATTGTGTGGCAGTAAACCGAAGAGCACCGTGGTCACCAGCCGGAAAAATAAGATGACGATCACATTTAAATCGGACTCGTCTTACGTAGACCAGGGTTTCATCGCAGAGTACGAAGCATTCATCCCGAATAACCGTAAGACTGATTTCATTTTCATTTTGAAATGCCCCTTTGTCACGCTAACCTTCAGTTTTTAGATTGATCATCTTCTTTTTGGTTGTCGTTGATCAGCGTGTCCGGGGAGGTTTCAGTGCACCAACAACCTCTGCATCAACAGCACGCTGCAGTGCGACGGCTGGAACGACTGCGGAGACGGCAGCGACGAGGACGGCTGCAGTGAGTCCAAAGCACACTGCCTGACGAGTGGCTTTATTTTCACACAAGATATACAAAAAATGTATCTGGATGGATCGTTTTCAGACAGAACATTAATCTCAGATAACTTAAAAACAGGCCGTACAAAATCCCACATCCTGCTGCTGTAAATACTGATTACAGCATCAAATGTGCATTAATAGGCTGCTGGAAATAGTCCTAAAGATATGCACTATTTCCTCCTGTCACCAGCTGTTTGAGAAAGCTTTTATTTTCTGTTATGACACTATTGCTGCGTTCACACGCTCTTCAGGGCCCAGGAGTTCAAAACTTTGAATCCCTATCTGATCAGATCAGATTTGGATAGTTCAAAACCAAAAAACAGGATTAGGATCACTTTCATATCCGATCAGATCAGGAAATCCAATCCAAGCTTTAATCTGTATCAAATCTTCAAAACGGGTAGTTCAAACCAACAACACAGGATTGGGACCAGTTTGATCCCAAAAAACTGGATTACCCTGATCCCACCAGAGGGGTGGATTTCCAGTGGATTACCAGAGCAAAATGTACTGTACAATTTATTTTAAAATATGTTTCAATTTAAATAAGATGGCAAAGTTTGTTAACTGAAATAATACACAATTTTTAGCCTTCATGGGAAATACATTTTATTTTTCCCATTTTTGCTCACGTTTCTGGTGGCCTATTTGTTTTTCAACCAAATGTTGATGACATAAATGTTGATGCTCATAAAAGTGTAACAGCAAAGATTGTCAATCAAAAATGTAATTTAGATTAAAGTAAAAATATCTTCAACAAAAAAAAAGTCCATCATCTGTCATCACCTTTCAAATAAAAATATATAATTAGACATTATAGATGTCTCTGCAATGTGGTCTCTTGTCTTCCTTGTATTATTTTTCATGTCCACTAGATGGCGATCGGTAGGATTAAAGCACTGATATTCAGGATCTAGTCATCTTGAAAAATCGTAATCTGGATCAGGCTGATCCTATCCTGAATTGCTTTGAACTCCAGGGACAACATTTGGCCGACTTGTCTGATCCTGGATCACAAAAAATGGGATTTCGAAAATCTGATCGGATCTGATTGAGATTAAAAGTTTTGAACTCCTGGGCCCTGGGGTACCTGAATGTCTGTACAATAATTCATAGTCACACATGAAAT